CTATGAGGCGAAAGTGGCAGAAAAGGCTAAACATTTCAAAAAGCTAAAGTTGCACCAATACTAAAAATCACAACGCCCTTCTCCTGAAAGAGCTGAACGTTTTGATTTACGATTTGTTGAAATAGCACAAAAATTGTGGAACGAGAAAGATGCTGAAAAACGTACGGAAGAAAAATGGATCACAATAGTGTACCACACAAAATTAGAGCGCAGTATCTGTAACACTGAGTTAAAGCAATTTTTGTGTCAATTTGCTGTGGCAGACAGAAACAAAGGACATTGACTGTTACAGTTGTTCAGTTGTAGATGTACTGTACATCCAATGTTTATTTTCTGAGAAAAAGAGAAATAAGGCAGAAGGAAGAGGAATTAAAAAAAAGGTTAAAACACAAAACAACTGGACTTCTAATATGAAGCTAAAGGCGTTTTGCTTCTCATCGGGGAGGCGTTATCACTCTACTTATTCATAAAGCCTCCAGTTGGTTTGTGTTTTAAACTTTCTTTTAGATTTACCATGTCCTGGATGAATCTTCACTGGCATAATGCACAGAGGAATAACGATAAACACATAAAAGTACTACAAAGACTGAACGAACTGCAGAAAAATCCAGTAAGTTTAAAGAAAGCAAACTAAACAGTGTAAGGAAGATGCAAGAAAACAAAGAAGCATGATACAAAGAAACACTCAAAATAACAACAAAGATACCAAGTACAAAGTACCAGGGATGCACGATATTGGATTTTTGGCCGATACCCGATATGCCAATATGTTTAAACTCATTTGGCCGATAAGAGATACCATTACTGATATTTTTCCCTTAGACCTACTTACAGAGACTACATAGCTTTCTCTGCTGTGGAATTAAAATACTACATCATTCTGCATGGTCTTTGTTAGTTTGGCCTGCTGTCAAATGCAGATGGCAAAAGGGGGCTGAAGGCATCCTTGTTAATGGGTTGTCATACAACAACAGCGCTCTACACACACACATATATAATATATAAATATATATATAACTGCACCTTTTACATCAGTGTTATTTTGATGGAATGCCCGATATTTAACTTTAATTATATCGGCCGATACCGATATCATGCCGATAATATCCTGCATCCCTACCAAATACCAGTTAAAACAACCAAAACGGTGATAAAAACCTGATTTAAATATCTGTAATGACGCATGACATATATAAAGGATCCAAAATGGCTGCAAAACAAAAAATGTGTCTATGAAGGATTTAAAATGAAACAAAAATATTTATTTCTTGTCTCCAAAAGAAAAGACTGAAATGTGTCTATTTGCTGTCATCATTGTCTGAACCCTGAGGATGAGGCTGTCGTCGTTCTTCATCCTGTCCCTCACTGTGATGGGCTGTCCTCACAGAGACAGAAACAGCAAAACAGAGAGAATAAAAGGTAATCTGCCTCACATCAGCCACCGTGCACAGAAACACACCAGCCCTTCATCTTCAAAGCAATACGTTCATGCAGTGTTTTAGGTAACCTTCATCACCTGGTGACACTCATGAAGGGTGCACACGTGCACTGGCTTCCTGCCAGCTTGGCAGGTGTGTGTGTGTGTGTGTGTGTGTGTGTGGAAGTAAGAAAGGAAGAAAGAGACTGGGGAAGAACAGGAGGGGGAGAGATGTGGGAGGAGAGCATCGTCGCAACGAGTCGAGCTGCATTACTGCTACTGCTCGCCGGCTGTTTCTCTCTGCTGCAGCCTCAGGAGTGTGTGTGTGTGTGTGTGTGTGTATGAGTGTGTGTGTGTGTTGGTGTGAACGTGTGGCGTCGATATGGTTCTGATCAAAGCAGCGATCAAATCCGTCCTCAGGTACCTCAGTAAGACCCCAGGTGAGTGTGGCTGTATTGATGATTGATGAATTATTCACAGGGTCAAAGAGCATCCCTATGATTTAGTTAGAGCTCTCTGATGATGACCTCATAAAAATCCTGCTTTCTAATTGGCTGTTGGGTGCATGTTAAGATCATGTAAAAATAGTTCAGTTTAGTAGTTTCATCTGTGTTTGAAACCAGCTGCGTACTGCACTGCATGGAAATACAGTAGTGTTATTGATTCAGAGAGCCCCCTCTCAAGGACTCCAGGACCCCTGTCTTCATAAGGACCTACTCAAGGCTGTTGCTCCTGCTCAAGGGAAAAAAAACATCAACCTGTTATTTTGGGGAAAAGCCATAGGGGATTTCTCAAGATCTGGTAGAGACACCTCATTGATTGTGTCAAACCTCTTAAGGTGAGAATTTCTCAAGAATCAAGGACAACAAAGGTTTCAAGGGGTCTTGCACTAACCTATGACCAATGAAGCCTTCCTAAGGGGTCTCGGGACCTGTTTAAGGACTCTTCTTTTCTTTTTTTTATCTTTAGGACGGTTTAATATACCAATGTTACCACTCTTTGATTGGGTTTAGGACAGTCCATTTCTTCTAATGGATTTTTTGGTTGGTTGGTTTCGTGGCTTGAGGTAGATTACCACAGAGACTGCTGGCTGCCTGACTGTGATGGTTTGCTGAGAAATTTTTAACTCGGATGGCGATTTTGATTGGGGGGGGAGTAAAATTACTGAGCCTATATTTGATGTTTAGGTTTAATGACCCAGGTCATAACAAGAGAAAAACAGCAATCATTAAAGTGGTGTGACGCTTGTTGAGGCTGTTTCTTGTTGTTGTGCTCTTGTTCATTTGCATTATGTTTGTATTCTTCAGCCAGTGATAAATGGTTTGTATACACGAACCAGGGGTAATGAAAGTTTTCTCAAGGGTGTTGGAAGGAAGGCTCCGATCAGTTGTCAAACCTCGCATTCAGTGTTGCTTTCGTCCTCGTCGTGAAATGGTGAACCATATTTTCACCCTTGTAGGATTGCTTACACACTTTCGCTTCTAAAGGGGTCATGGGAGTTGGACTGTCCAGGCAGAATATGTCTAGTGTAGCGGGAAAAGGCTTTTGACAATGTTCCTGAGAAATTCTGTGGGTGGTGCTGCGGAAGTATGGGATTCCAGGTTGACTTTAAGGACTAGCTGGTTCCTGTATAATCAAAGCTAAAGCTGTGTCCACATTCTTGGCACAGTCGAACTCATTCTCGATACAGAATGTACTCCACCAGGATTGTACCTTGCCTCCAGTTATGTTTGTGGTGTTCATGGGCAAGATCTCACAGGCTCAGTTGTAGGGAGGATGGTATCAGACTTGGGAACCTCAGTCTCTTCTCTGCTTTATCCAGATGATGTGGTTCTGTTGGCATCTTCAAGCTAGGACCTTCAGTTTGCATTGAGGTGGTTCCCATCGGACTGTGCGGAGCGGCGGGGAACCACCAGCTAAGTGGAACATGAGTTCACGACTGATTGTAAGATTGAGCGAGTGATGGATCAACAGATCTGGGCTTCGTCCTCAGTAATATGGGCGTTGCTCAAGTTGGTCTTGGTGAAGAAAGATTTGAGTCAAAAGGCAAAGCTCTCAATTTACTGGTCTGTCTGCATTCCACCTTTCACTTATGGTCATGGGGTTTGAATTTTGTTCGAAAGAATGAAATCCTGGATACAAGCAACTGACGTGAGCTTATTTTGTAGGGTGGCTTGGCTTAGCTGTAAATAGGGGTAGGCGCTCTATCATCTGGGGGTAAACTGGAGATGAGCTGATCCTTCTTTGCATCGAAAGGAGTAAGTTGAGGTGGTTCTTGCATCTGATTAGGATTCCTTCTGGACGCCTGGTTTTGGAAGTCTTCTGAACATGTCCCACTGGGAAGAAGCCACGGGGCAAACCCAGTACTTGGTGGAGAAATTATTCATATCACAGAACTCTCTGAATGGCACTGGATCTGAACTAACCCACAGGTAGCCAGAACTACCTAAAGAACCTTTAAAATCTGCTCAAAGATTACCTGAAGATTACCAGGAGTCAGTAGCAACTCTGTAAATAACTCTGAAAACATACACTGCTTATAGTACTTCTTGCAGAATTACTTAGTTTCCTCCAACCAGTTAAGGTGCAGTGCAAGGGTATGAATTGTCTATGTATGAACTTCTGGTGCATTTTAATGTCCCTGAAAACTTAGAGGATTTTTAGGACTTGTTCACCCGAGCTACATGTTCCTTCCTCGGTGGGACACATTTAGTGATGGGGGTTACGGCACTTTATTGGGAACCATCTATTTAGTATCCACTCTATTGGTAAAGAACAGCTTTGAACTGGCTTTTTGAATATCTGGTTCAGAAAAGCTGGCTGGGGCCTAGCTCATTGCCATTTGATCCACGACTAGAGCCATTTAACGTCTCCAGAGCCATCTTCAAGGTCCAAGTACATAATCTGTAACCTTGAAGACATTTTCAAGAATAAATGATATTCTTAAATTTGTAGTACCTTTTCAAAAATATTACTGACACTGTCTTGATGATTCCTAGACCAGTCTAACTCAGATACCATTGGCAACACATTATTTATGCATATAGTGCTTCACCTGGACTATAATGAGTCTCTCAAGGAGCATTTCAGACCCCTCCACCCCCAAAGAAGTCGTCTTATCTTTATCAAAAGCACCAGAATCCTTATTTAATTTTGTGGGTTTTTTATGTATTTACTTATTTTCTAGTTGTGGCTCCTGTCATGTGGAGGAATTTATGTTGCCTGTAAAACCAAAATGAGAATAAAATTGGGTTCAAGACCAATTAACAATCTGGCAATTTTGTCAAAATTCTGATGACTGTCATACAGTAGGTTTTTGTTTTGTGTTAATATCTCAGATCTGGAATACAGAGAACTGGCATTTAAATGTCACATCTGTCCTCTGAGTTCCCTAGCAAATCAAACCACTGTTCCTTCACACTAAAAGCTCTAAGCACTGAACTGAGGTCACCTTCAGGAGTGCTTAGAGCTGCAAGTTCGATCATCGCTGCTTCCTCGGTGCGAATAAATTTGCTGAAACGAGATTAAACACTGAAACCAGCCTCACACTGAACCCCCCTCCTTTTTTTCCCCCCCTATGCAGCAGGGGACGGGGACAGTAGATGGTCTGTTCACTACACTACCCAGAAGCCTCAGCATGGACTGCACTTCATTCCTGAGAAAAGACGTTCAGGCAGCGCTGATGATCTGCAAGGTGAGACGGCAGCATTCACTGAGAAGATTCAGCAAAGACATGTGCAACACATTAAAAAAAAACTGTTTCAATCATTTCAGCTATATACAAATTTTTCCAACAACGCACTTGGGGGAAAAAAAAGGAAACACAACTTACTGGCAACAAAAATAGCTCTGGTTGATTAAAAAAAAAAACAATACAAAGAAATAATTCACTAACATTAGAGTGTGTAGAGACTGAATGGATTTGCAGCTGATGTGACTTTTTCATCTTTGCATGATCCATGGAATGACATATTTCTTGAATTGGAAAAGTGTAAATATCAGAAGTGTTTGGATCAGAGCTAATTCTGCTCTGTATAGAACATTTAACTCAAATTAACTCAGAACTCAGGGTTTGTGCTGAATTAGCACACCTGGTACAGTCTTTCAAGTGCCCCAGGAAGCAGCTCTCTGCTCCACACAGAGGGCTGTGGTAGCTCGGTGGTCTGTGGTTGCGTCAGGACGGGCATCCGGCGTAAAAACAATTACCAAGCCTTCATGCGAGAGAGTTCGCTTTGGCGACCCCTGAGGAAGGGAGCAGCTGAAAGAAGTACAGTGTTCAAGTAAAACAGAAGGGCTATTCAACTAAACTGCTCAGGGGGGTCACAGTTACTGAAAGCCAAGCCAAGAGCTCAGGGGCCGGACATCCAATTCTCATTAATAAGGTTATCCCTGCTTTAGGATATCGGTCCATCTTTAATAACATTTCCTTATAATAAAAGTAGAATTCCTTACAGGGATGCTTATTGCCTGCCAGCTTCCATGCCAGCGTTTAAACTAAGATGACATACAATCTGCTAGCCTTTGGAATATGTGCTTTTCACCTAAATTTCAGCTCGATGTTCATAAAATCAAGGCGGCACAGTGGCTCAGTTGGTAGAGCTGTTGGCTCTCAGTGAGAAGGTCGCCGGATCAAATCCCAGCCGGGGACCTTTCTGGGTGGAGTTTGCATGTTCTCTTTGTGCATGCATGGGTTTATGGGTACTCCGTTTTCCTCCCACAGACCAAATACGTGCATGTTACACTGATTGGTAACTCTAAATCGTCCCTAGGTTTGAGTGAGAGAGTGATTGTTTGTCTCTGTGTCCCTGTGATGGACTGGAGACCTGTCCAGGGTATCCCCCGCATCTTGCACAGTGATTGCTGGACATGGACACCAGTGACAACCACGACTCAAAAAGAAAGAAGTGGGCAAAGATAACGAATGGATTCATAAAATCAACCAGGCCATTTTAGTTTATCGTCTGTGGCAGCCATCTTGAATTGGGTTGACTCCAGACGTTAATATGTAAATCACTACTTTCTGAGAGTTTCATTAAATATGTCATGTGGTTTATATATATATATAAAAAAAGTTTACAGACAAATGCACGCAGAAACAAGGAATTTGTTGATCACCTGCCTTTCATGGTGGTGTGCAATATAAAGATGTCCTAAAAGGATTTTGTTCAAGAACTTGTTGGGCAAAGTTTAATTCAGTAATACTTGTGCAATAGTCATACTTTACTAAATTGCACGGGTGATTTTAGCCTTTTTTTTTTTTTTTTTTTTTTTTTTGAGGAGGTGCTCAAGCACCCCTAAAGTTTAACTCGGCACCCTTGAAAATTTAAGAAACCATCATTATGATTTTATAAGGAATCTCAGTTCTCAAACCTTAGATTCACCGAAACGTTTAATAAATATGGAACGAATGATGACAGTCTTAAATGGGCCAGTAAAATCTATGATTTATTTATTTTTTGCATGAGTCGGATCCTCGATTCCACCCGTCAGTCAATCCATTACTTAGCGTGTCTGTATTGTGTGCCACAATGCAGTTGTTGGCAGTTGTCGACCTGTGGTGGGAGGGGGTGTTGGGGTGCATGAGAGAAGTGGAGCGTGATCTATTCACACAAGGAGAGCTGTTGGTCAGGTTACTTCTTGCTGTGTCGTGCTCTCTAAAATAATTATTGAATCAAATGTTTACTTATGTAGATAAATGTAGATGTTTAAAAACCCGTTAAAATATACCAGAATGCAAAAAATGGTATCTACTTTATTCAAATTTTTTGGGGGGAGAACACCCCAGTGTCCCCTCCCACATTGCAAATGCTTCTGATGCTAATGACCACTGCGCTGTTCAAGCCAAGAGCCATTGACTGGGGGCACTGGGGGCTGAGCACCGCTAAAGGGCAGATTCTAGGATCGCCCCTGCTTTACAGAGAGATCTTGGGGCAGGCGTGTCTCTTGACTGGCAACACAACTCTGATTTCTGTGTCTGAATGTCAGAGTTAAGTGTACAAACAAATAAAACAAAAAAATCTTTAGATGATCGGGTACAAGGGCTGACACTTTGTGGAAGAAGCAGGAAATTTAAAAAAAAAATCCATTATAAAGTTAGCAGAATTGTTGACCAGGGACTCTAAAAGATGATAGTAAAGTTGGGCTGCTTGGATGGAAAATCTCAGGCAATAAAGCCTGAGGCACAGTTCTGTAATCTCCTGTGATTTGTGCAGAAAAAGACGATTGTTTGTGCGCTTGCTCGTTCATTTTTATGTATTTACTGTTTCAGGAAAAGCTACTGTTCTGGGATAGAGCTGTTAAATGTGCATGCATTTAACTCTAATCACGTGAAAGTGTAACCGTCTGGATGATGAATGATGCAGGTGGACTGCAGTGGTCTGCAGGGGTCTGCATGCGCAGCACATTCTGCTGCACACTGCAACGCCGCAGCTGCACCATCCAACATCCAACAGAGGACAAAGCTGCTGCTTTCATGTGTAAACCTTCACTGGATTCACTGATCAAGAAGACACAATGATTGATTGATAGATGTATTGCAGATGAGTAATGAGACCTTGAATTTATGTCCAAACTACACTTTACCCAGCTGTATGACGCTCCTCTTTGTATGTTTGTAGCATGTAACGGGCTGACTCAGCAAGGCTACTCTCAGTCCCACCCACCGAGTTCCACCTTCTCTCCATTCTCCGGCCTCGACCAATCAGTGAGAGGAAAACGCAGAAGGTGGCGAGCCCAAAGCAGAAAGATGGTGAGGAACAAGCATGATGTTTATGTTTCATGAATATTGTATGAGTGAACAGACTGCAGCTAAAACGACCGCTCTCAGTGAGTCACGAGGGGATAATTGAGCTACTGCCAGGTTTTATTCCTGCAGGAATATACAGTATATATGAATATATTTATACACAACCACAGCATGGACACACAACGGTCCCTTTAAATCACCAAAACACAACCATTCACTCTCTCACTCACACCTAGGGACAATTTAGAGTTACCAGTCAGTCTAACATGCATGTTTTTTTTTGGGAAAACCGGAGTACCTGGAGAAAACTCACGCATGCATGGCCAGAACAGGCAAACTCCACCCAGAAAGGCCCCCGGCAGGTCCAGCGACCTTCTTGCTGAGAGGCAACAGCTTTACTAACCGAGCCACCGTGCCACTGTCTTTATCAGGCATGGGCAAACCCTGTTCCGTGGGCCATATACGGCCTGTTGGGCATTTTAATTGGCCTGCCGAAATTGTCCAAAATTTGGACAATAAAAAAAAAAGAATTTTTTTAAATTTTTTATATATACTTCATTTTTCAGGGGTGATGAGGTAAACCCCCAAAACAGGTTAAAATCGCCATTGGTTCAAATTATATTTAAAAAACTGAATTTAATAGGGGGGGAAAAATGGTGTCATTTTACCTGTAGTTCCATCATTTCCCCAGTAGAGGCGCACTACAGACACTGGCATGTATTATGGTCCCGCCCTTCGCTAGAACTCCTTGTGGCCCGCGAGTCTGAAAGTTTTCCCCACCCCTGGTCTATATTCAATTAATTGAGGACTCTCTGTATGTTATTTTATCTGTATTTTTTGCTGTAAGTTTATCAAGTTGTTTATTTTTATTTTTTGCATTTAAGTGTTATGATGAGTTTGCAGTTAACAGTAATTTGAATTTTTATTATTATTATTTTTATTTTTTTGGTAGTATTTATAATTTTAGCATTTGTTTGTTGCGTGTTTTCTACGACGGAGTATTAGGGCCATGCAAAAAAAAAAAGTCAAAATTATGGGAATAAAGTCGTAGTATTAGGATAATAAATTTGTACGTATTTTAATGAAACAACAAAAACTTCTTTGAATGTTACGCAGATGTAACCACCTAACCTTTCAGTTGACCACTGCCAGAAAGCTCCTCTTCCACAAGACAAGCAATATCTTCCAAATCCATGTGGTTCTTTCTTCGAAACCGACATAGTCGTTTGCACAGTCGTTTCAAAGTCCCGAAACTGATAATAATCTGCTGCTGATGTGCTAACAGATTAGGTATTTCCTTATTTCTAAAACAAATATCAAAGTATAACTTAAGATGTTCAACATTCATCATTTTACTGCAGTTGTAAGACTGTCTGATAGTATTACGAGTTTATTCTGGTAATATTACGAGTTTATTCTTGTAATACTAAGACTTTATTCTCGTATTATTTTGACTTTATTCTCATAATATTATGACTTTTTTTCATAATGTAATAAAAAAAAAAAAAAATTCTTAGCGTGGCCCTAATACTCAGTCGTAGTTTTTATAATCATTTTATGTATCGTACTTTTTTCTGGGGGCATGTTTTCGTATTAATTATATGTTTGCAGCATTTTTATTTCATTTAAGTAGCTTTGCATTTCATGTCATATGGTTGTTTAGGATTTGTTTGTGGCCATTTTTATTTATTTATTTATTTATTGCAGTTTGTGTTTCCTAAACAACCTTTTACCAAAAAAATAATATAATTTAGTTTAAACCAAACCTTAAGACAAGTATTCCTACTGATCAGCGTAACCAACATGGTTTACAAATAGAAATAAATGTTATTTGCTACGTTGATGGTAGCTTTTTAAACAAAATTTCTATTTAATTGTAAAAATGCAAAGATGTAAATGATCCCAGCTCTTAAATGAGACTTTTTTCTGTAACTTCTAAATTAATTTATTTCAAATTTATATTCAGTCTGAGCCAAATCTGTTATCTATTAGTGCCATTTGTTGCCTGTTGGGATTTAGTTTCTTACTCTGTTGAAAATCAGTAGCTTTTACTGCCACCTGCTGGTCAAACACTGACACAGTTTCTCTGTCAAACTGCTTTCATAAATCTAATCTTCTCATTATTAATTTCTCATGCTCTTTCATTCTTCCCTCGCACGTCTCTTCTCTTAGAGGTCCAGAGTCTTGGATTTTTTCTCTCATTCTTGCTTTTCAGTTTGTTTCAAGTTTTCCCTTTGGAAGAGAAAGGTAAACATGGACTGGCCTTCTCTCTAGTACAAAGTAGATTAGACGAAGTGATCGATGCTGAAGTAGTTTGCAGATCCAACCTAACCTGGTTTAACTGGGAGAAAACTATGAATTTAACTCTCCTCCAGTCTGCATTAGATCCCCAAGCATTTGAACATAAGCTGCTGCTTCTTAAAGCGAAATGTGATTTAACGCTTATTGTTTGGCAGAGTTCAACATCTTCAGATGAGGACGAGAGGTTTTTCCTTAACAACACACGGCCCATGACCCCACTGGTCCTGAACCAGGTTGGTCTCACCTCTGGATGGGATGAATTAGGATCAGCCAACGGCGCCGCCGTCGATGTGGAGATGGAGCCTTTTCATCGGCTTCCAACACCAGAGGAGAGGATGAGACAGCAGGCGGATGCTATCGCAGCTGACGTTGTTCCTATCAATGTAACAGGTACAGCTGGACTCACAGGCTCTACTTTTAAAATGTAACTTTGTTGTAGGTTTTAGATAAAATTTGGGTCTTTGGTTTTATGGTAAAATTACATGGTGCAAGACTAGTGCTGTAATTTTTACTCAATTCATCCTAAAAAGTGATTGCAATACAATACTGTACTTTTCGAACCATAAGGCGCACTGGATTATAAGGTGCATTAAAGGAAACAAAACGGTCAGCTAAGTCAAACTTTATTCAACTCATTCACAATAACTCAACATTGTTCAGTTGTACCACATAAAATTGGTTCCAGGTCAGTAAGCACAACCAGAATTAATACACAAGTTGCACCAGATTATAAGGCTTACAGTCGATTTTTGGGAAAATTAAAGGATTTTAAGTGCCTTATAGTCTGAAAAAGACAGTATTTCATTTTTGCTTATGAATTCATAAAATTGTGCGTAACTTTGTTTGACTTGTCAGCCTAATTATGTGCTATGTTCAGTTTTAAAAATGAGAAGTCTGCACATTCAGTGGTGTCTACCGTACCTAATCAAATAGTTTTGTTTGCTCAACTTAACCAAGTTTTGATTTCCAAACATAACCAAGCAGTTTTCTACAGTTGACAGAAAAAAACAAGTTAACATTTTTATTTATTTTGTAGAGGTTTGCCAGCATCCACATGCTAATGACATGAAAATACAGTAGATTATACTTGAGGTTTTAGAACAAGACAAAATAGCATCTTATCATTTCTGATTATTAGCCCATTATTCATTATTTTTTAAGCTGTTTTGTCAAGCCTCCATCATCCATCCATTATCTTTACCCGTTTCTTCCTTTTCGAGTCGTGGGGGATCACTGGTGCCCATATCCAGCCATCACTGTGCGAGAGGTGGGGGACACCCTGGACAGGTCGCAAGTCCATCACAGAGATGCATAGAGACAAATGAGACAAACAACCATTATTATACAAGGACCCAGTTAGGATTCAGGATGATGAGGGATGGAATACTAAAGCAACTATTCTGCAGGAAGTAGTTCCACGTTCATGGCCGAGATAGTGTAGAGGCAGGGCAGCTGGCTTGGGACCCGAAAGTCCCAGGTTTAATCCCTCACTGCACACCTCGTGGTGTCTCTGGGCAGCACACCTTATCCCCAAAATGCCCCCCCCCCCCACGCGCTTTCAATAACTGCCCACTGCACCACCTGGTGGTGGATGGGTTAAATGCAGAGAGTAATTTTGCCATTGTATGGAAACATACAGTGATGACAATGTGATGACATTATTATTATTTCAGGTGAAAACTGAAGATGGACCAGTTCTGAGACTTAATCGTCACAGTTTGTTGAAAACTCTATTAGAGACTGTTGATAAGTCGAGTGAAAGTTGTAAGGACTCTGAGTATTCCTGCAACTGAACGGACACTACCAGAGACAATCCACCTGTGCTAGGATCTACCAGAGTTGTGGAAAAAAACCTGACAAACTGAAGAAAAGTGCTGCCCCCGCGACCCGACTTCGGAATAAGCGGAAGATAATGGGTGGATGGATGGGGAAAAAAATAACAAGTGTGTTGAAATGCTTAAATTTTGCAACCATACCATACAATTTTATTTATAGAGCACTTAAAACAGCGACGAGGCCAACCAAAGTGCTGTACAGACAGAAAAACAGGGAACACACAAAATGAGGTAAATCAGAATATAGACATAAAAACGATGCAGATAATAAATATGACGAGTAATCAGTATGGGGCGTACAGGTTCAAAACACAGATCATCTGGTGTTGAAAGCTACTGAATAGTAGTGGGTTTTTAAACAGGATTTGAAAACCGAGAGGGAGGGGGCCTGTCTGACAAGCAGAGGTAACTCGTTGTAACTGATAACTGATGTAACTGATATGTATGTTAACTACTATAGAAAGGTTAAGGTAGCTTTATTGTAGCTATATTGTATGATGCTCTATCTGCTGCATGTGATGTAATTAATTTTGACAGGATTCCTTTTGTAACATTCTTACTTCAAAGAGAGGGGGGATGTGATGACTAGATGTATTTTGCTTGTGTCCACTAGGTGGCAATCACGAGTCTGTGAATGTATAAATGTGACATATAGACAAGAGAGTGAGAGTTCTGTGAGATGCCAATCATACCTGTGAGCAGAGCTTTAATAAAAGTGCATGAGCCGTCAAAGAGGACTGGTTTTTATCAAACATAACATCACTCTCTCACTCATAGGGACAATTTAGAGTTACCAATCAGCCTAACGTGAATGTTTGTGGTCTGTGGGAGAAAATCGGGGTACACGGAGAAAACCCACGTATGCACGGAGAGAACATACAAACTCCACCCAGAAAGGCCTACAGACTGGGATTTGAAACAGGGTAACCTGCTTGCTGAGAGGCAATGGCTCTACCAACTGGACCACCGTGCTGCTCAGCCTCCATCATAATAGTGCCAATTTTGTCTCTTTTACATTGCCATAACTTAAGAATTTGGACTTTAGTTGCACATATAAATAAACTTGTAACTTTGTATTTTTCTATTTATTGACATAAACCTACATTTACATGAACTCAGATTATAAGTTTATTTGTGCTAACTTCAAAGTTGGGGGCATGAAGTTTAAAGTTTAGGCCAAGACTTTGACTCAGACATACGGTTATAATCAACATTTGAAACTTAACTGGGATACAAGATGTATCTTAGTTTTAAAGCCAAATATTTGAAGTCCTTAATGGGTTCAAGAATTGTACGGACTTGCTTTCTGACACTTTTTTTTTGTATTTCTTCTCATTTTAGGGGAGAGTTTTGATCGACAGGCCAATTTTCAGAGAACCCTCTCTAATGCAGACTCACTGACCCGGCGAACTCGTAAACTGAGCCGCCGTCAGACCATTTCTGTGATACAAAATTATGCCATCCCAAAGCCCTCTGTCTCTGTAGAACTTCCTGGTCAGTTCTCCACAGTGGGTCGACCTGCCTCCTCCTGTTGCACGTCCTCAGATCAACAGAAGGACACAGAGGTGGAAATGGAAGAAAGTGAAATAATCAAAAAAGAGGGGCTTTTGTCTTCAAGGAGGATCCGAGCACCAAGAGGAGAGGGCATGTCCAGCCTCATGTCTTCCCTTACCACCCCCCCGCTTGTCAAAGGGCACCCTATTTCCTGCCACTCAACCACCTCTGAAATCCACAATCTACCTCGCCTGGCCACCAACTTCTCTCTGAGCTCTGAGTTCAGCTGTAACAGCACCTCCTCCAGGACACTCAGCACCTCCTCATCTGACAGCCAGGTCAGTTTAAAAAATGTTGTCATGTTGAATTACCTGAAACAAACCGTAAGTTTCTGTATGTATTTTATTTTCTCCTGGCTTCCCCTTCTTTCACAGGACCTACAAGGCTTTTCTTGCAGCCTTCTGACCTTATTGCCAAATGATCCCGAGGCCAGAGTGGTACCCCAGTCTCCTCCTTCCTCCTCCTCCTCTTGTTGTTTTCCTCCTTCCCCAGTCAACTCCTCCATGCCTAACACACCAAGTCACATGCAGCCTGAATGGTTTCCCAACAATAATCCGTTTAATGAAGCTCCCGCTTCCTCGCATTACCTCTCTTCCTCCTCCATTGCGGATTCTGTGTCTCAGTTTAGTTACAAAGCACTGGATGACCCAACCTCCTCTCGGCAGAATGCTCAGAGTTTCTATGATGGTGACTCCATCAATGGAGAGAGTTGGAGCTACGGGCCTCTGTCCTCCAGCTCCAGCATCCACAGCAGCATCACCCAGGACACAGGAGATACCTCAGAAGAAGTTTGGAACTGTGATCCCCTGCTCTCCTCTGGTCGCTCCACCCCGTCCTGTGTTGATAACGACTCCCTGTGTTCAGAGAAGATATCTTCTCCTTTGTCTAAGCACGAGAAAAGGAAGTCCAGTACATCCCCCTTTAACTCTCGTACCATCTCTCGCAGCATTTCCCTACGAAAGTCCAAGTGCCCACCTCCTCCACCGATGCGTTCTGACTCTTTGAGGCGCCGTCCAGGTCGTAGCAAAGCCTACCACACTTCAACAAGTCCTCGTCTGGACCGCAGTCCTTGTGTGGATTGCACCACCTTGCACACACCCTCCTCTTCTTCCCAGGCCTTCTATGACCCCTGGGTGCCCCGAAACAACACCAGAAGACGGCAGAGTGGTTTGAACTGTGGGACAGTAACAACCTTTGAACCTTTATGCCCAAACTCCCAAACGGACTCCCTTACTAACTCTTCCCCTTCCAACATCAACTCATCGAGTCCTGACCACTGCCATGTGCTTGGCCCTGTATCTCCAGGTCCAAAGGATAAAGAACTGAAATTTCCTCCGGACCAGGCCATACCTGACTCCTCTACAGCCGTGCTCCAGCGCCTTGCTTCTCCATCCAGTGGTTATTCCAGTCAATCTAACACCCCTACCCCTGGCACTCCAGTTTCTTCCCCCCTCAACCCTTCCTCCCCCCTTACAGCAAGTCCCGGAGCCTTCCCCCTCTCTGTGACCGCACCCTTTTTCATTCCATGTTCGTCTTCCTTCCCCTTGTCCATTGCTGCCTCCTCCCTTACTAGGACTAGATCTCATGGTGAAGGTAGGCCAAAACCACCAGTCCCCCAGAGGAAGTCATCACTTCTCTCCTCCCTTTCCTCATTTCCCTCCACATCCTCCCTTTCCTCCTACACCTCATCTGATTCTTTAGCAAGGCATCCCAATAATCCCCCTCCTCTTCCACAATTGGCTCCTTCCATATCCGAGTTTTGTCTCTCTACTACTAATAATCCTCCTCCACCATCTCCACCTCCCCTGCCACAGTCCTTTACTCCCGTTTCTGAGCGCTTTCTTTCTACCTCTTCATCAGTCCTCTCTAAACCCCCTACACCTCTTCCCTCTCCTCTTCTTCCAGAGTCTGCCTCTTCCTTTCTTTCTAAACCTCCTCCTGCCCCACCCCTTCCTGAATTCTGCCTCCCTGATCCATTGTCTTTTAAGAAACCTCCTCCTCCTCCACTTGTATCTTCTCTCCCAACTCTATCCCTCCCCATGCCTCCTCCTTTACCTCCATTTGTCCGTCCTCCTCCTCCTCCCTACTCATATGCTGTGAGCAGGAGATCCCACCAATATCTAGTTTCCACAGGGTCATCTACTTTAAATCCACTTGTAACTTCCAAGTCACCTTCCTTACCTGAATGCACAGACATACAAGACCTTCCTCCTCCACCACTTCCACCACCACCTCCTCCTCTGCCTTCACTCTCCAAACCCTCCACCTCTTTCTTCTTCCCATCAAGAATGTCTCCAAGGCCTCCCTGCATACTGATCACTCCTCAGGCTTTGCAGTGCATCAAGCTTCACTCTGTCAAGAACCAGGAAATCCTTCAAACCAAGGATAACCCTACTGAGGCTACACTTCATCCCCAAATTAGCATTTCAAGAAATGAGACTAACCGAAGTGAAAATGCCCAACTAGACTGCATTGAGCTGGACAAAATTACTGTTGACTGCTTAAACACTGATGCTAAGCAATCAGGTTCAGGAGAAAAACATGATATCTGTGCAGTAGCCGACAGGGAAGCAACCACATCAATGGCTAACCTTCAAAGCCCAATCAGTACAGAAATAAAACAGCAGGAACCCACTAACAACAACCAAACAGAAAGTGAGTCTGGGAATTCCAATAATGAGTCAGGTGATTCTAATCTTCAAAGACCACAAGGCAGCTCAGCTAAGCCGAAAGACCATGATATTCAGCTACCATTACCACAAACCACCCATTCCAATGGGAAACAAAGGGAGGATTCAGACATGAATATAGCAAACTTTCAAGTCCAAAATCCTGAGAGCCCTCAGGAAAAAATGTGTCATGATGCTGACAAATATAAATTTAACACCGATATCAAGGCTTTTCCTTTGGAACAACACCCTCAAGAAACAGACTCATTAGAGGAGACTCTGAGAGAAAACAAGTCAAGACTCTCGGAGAGCAACAAAGAAGACGAGAATAATGAAAAAAATAAACTTGATGGAAATTCAACAAATGTTGATGCGAAACACAATAACAAGGACTTTATATCAAGGAGCTCAAGGAGGTTGCCCTCCCCTGAGAAACCGATCCCGCCAAAGAAGCCTGATCTTTGTCTTCTGGGTCTCATGGCATCTCCCAAGGCCAGAAGAGAACCTGATTGGCCAAAGAGCCCTGGACAAAACATAGAGTCTTCTTCTGGACTAAACAGCCAACTGCAGAGTCTCTCTGATTCCTTAGAGACTCCTTTTCTTACACATTTGACTAACGGTAAACTTTTTCCAAAGCACTTGACAAGCACCTGTGTCCAATCAGTGATACCTGAAAGTTCAATTAACAATACCCGCTCACCTTTCAGTTCCCTTCAAAGCCAGGAGCCACAGATTTTACCCAAGAAGCCAGATCTCTCATTCACCTCCCCCAAAACAGCAAAGCCAGTATTTGATTCTAAAAAAAATGGTGCAGGTCTAAAAGAGACCACAGGGACCAGTGGTATTTTACAGACTCAAACCACTATGAGGACCATTAGCAGCTTAGAAACAATGAACAACACAAAGGCTAAAAACACTTCTGAGGAGATCTGCAGCATCTTAGAGGACTTGAAGATCTGTGGAAGTCATGACCAGTCATGGTCCATAGGGATGGACCCTTCAAAAGTCCCTAAAAGTGCATTCATTAGGACTGGAGGAACCCAGACTTTCCTACCAAACCATTTTTGTGGCAGGATTATTGAAACTAAATTTCAGGATGAGGTCAAAACAAATCATAGGAGGATGATGAGGTCCTCATTGGCTGAAGATGAAGAGGAAGATGAGCAGGAAACTGTGGAGGAAAGCGATAAACAGACAGTTATAATGACGATGATGACTTCATCTAACAAAAAGGACAAAGTAAAAAAAAGGAGGAAGAGGAGGCCAGGCAGGCAACTGCTGATGAGATCACCTAAAACGGAACCTTCTCCCTCATCGTCATCATCGTCATCATCATCATCATCATCATCATCATCTTCTTCATCCTCATCAGAAGACGAACGAGATGTAAAAAAAGGCAAACGTGGGAGGCTGAGAATAATGAAAGTGTGCAACCAAGAGACAAGTGACTCTGAAGGTTGCTGCTCTCTGACTGGTCAGAGCAGGTTCTCCCTCAACAGTGTGCTGTCCACTGATACCCTGCAGGGAGAACTGTCTCTCCCAGACCTCCTGATAAAGGAACCAGACGAAGAAGCAGAGGAGCAAGTAAAGGGAGAGGCCCAGAGGAGAGTCGAAGAGCTCAAGGAGGTTAAGAGACCTTCAGATGGTGAGTTGGGTTCATCTAAGTCAAGGTTATTAATAATGTGATGCAGTTCTAGATCTGTGATATCTGACTCCGAGACAATTTCAGCAGATCCTTTAAGGTGTAGAATAAAAGATTGGGAACTACTCCACATCATGAAGACTTCTTGATGTCTTTTATCCTGACACAACATTATGACAGTTTTCTGTGAAGTTTGAACTGCCTCTGTTCTTTAGATATACCCACATCTGCCAAACTAACAACTATGTCACAAGCACCAATTGTTCAGTTTCCATTTAAAACATCCAGACCCTGGACAAATCAGCTGTTCATAAAATTTAGTTATTTTTAAGTATTGCCAAGTCATAACAGAAGTCGTCTCAGGGTACTGAACAGAAACATTCATATATATATATATATGAAAAATAAGTTAACGGAAACATTCGTATACAAAAATAATAATGTAAGAAACAGACTGCTTTGAGTTTAACTCCATCGCAGAACTCTCATCTTGAGCAAAAATGAAGGCAACAGTGGAAAGGAAAAACTCCCTCATGATGAAGAAACCTTTTAACAGAACCAGGCTCAGGACACGTGGCCATCTGCTTCATCCGGCTGGTTTTGAGAGGAACAGATACACAATGGCAGACTGACAATCACATTAAGACAGAAATGGTATTAAATGAAAACTATTCGATTGTAATAATTCATTTAAGGAAATGAGGTCATTTTGTCCTCCAGTTGTTGTAGCCTTTGGCAGCATAACAAGCCAACACTAACTATAGGATTTATCAAAAAGGAAAGTTTTAAGCCCAGTCTTAAAAGTGGACAATGTTTCAGCCTCACGGACAGAAACTGGAAGTTGGTTCCACAAGAGAGGAGCCTGATAAGTGAAAGATCTTCCTCCCATTCTGCTTTTGGAAACTCTAGGAATTGCGAGTAAGCCTGCAGTCTGAGAGCCAAGTGCTCTGTTAGGAAAATGTGGAACAATAAGATCTGTAATATAAGATGGAGCTAGGTTGTTGAGGCCTTTGTAGGTTAGAAGTAAGATTTTGAATTCAATTCTGGATTTGACAGGGAGCCAATGGAAAGATGCTAAAATTCGAGAGATATGATCTCTCCTACTAACTCCAGTTAAGACTCTGGCACCGGCATATTTAAAAAAAAAAAAAAACCCTTGTTATGTTTTTTCCAGATGATGTGTTCGTCAGCGTTTCAGCGGATCAGATGTATGTCTCGGGTCATCCTCGAACCACAGAGGATCTGTTTGCCATCATCCACAGGTAGCAGCACTTACACCCAAGCTGAACACTGTTAGTTTACCAACCATTAAAGCACATCCTCACATTTCTGCTTGATCCCTCCATCTGCCTCTGGAGCAGTGCAGTATGGAAAGGCACAGCATGAATACCTTGGTAATCAGGGGTTGGCTGCAGGTAAAACATCTAACTGGTCTGTAAATGTGTAGATAGTGACCACTTTAAACTAACTCCAGCTCCTTCATTTTAGCTTCCTGTAGAGAGAAACTGATCCTGCCTCAGCCCTTGTTGTCTGAATAAGAAGCTTGTTTATCTCGTAGCATTCTCCTTTGCTGTGTAACCAATTTACCTCCATTCTTGGTGCCTCCTTTCCCTTTTTTCTGTGGATTTAACTATTTGAACTTGTTCTAAATGAGATTCCAAATTTGCAATTTAAAATAAATAAATAAATAAATTTTACCAGTTCGCTTTAAAGGCAGTTTTAAGGAGGCACTTTTAAGGCCGAGCAGTGGGGGACCCTAAGGGCCTTCTACACCTTCAAGGAAGACCTAAGAAGTCGGCACATATTAAATACATTAACATTTTAATTAATTTTTCAATATCAAATATATATTTTCAGTGTTTTTTTCTTCTTCGAATTTTGCTTATTTTCTGTAAACTACTATGGAGTTGAGCAAGAACCTTTCATTTCTCCGATTGTCATGGCGGCCGTCTCCACGATTCTCCATCTCCGGACTGAACTCTACGAAACAGTTCGGTTCTGTGGGGAAACCTTGGATGTTCTATGTCTGCCAGACCTGGTTCTGGAGGGTAGTCATCGTCTGTTGCCGCAGTCGTTATTATCGTCATGCTGCTAACGGGACCTGCTAACAAGACCACACTGTTAACAGTACCATGCTGCTAACGGGACCATGTTGCTAATGACTCTTTTCCAATAGTATGTATGTGTGTACGTACGTATGTACATGCATATACTGTATATGTGTATATATGTGTATATATATATATATATATATATATATATATATATATATATAAATTCTGCTAATGAACTTTTAATGAACTTTAGTTCACCATTAAATTTCTGATGAAGTAGATTCTACTAAAACATCTACATTTAAAACTGTGTAGGTTTTCTTCATCATTTGATGTATTTGCACTCGTTGTGTCTACTTTTCTTGTTCAATTTAGATGTGTGGTTTTGTTTCTTGTTTACAGATTATTATTATTTTTTATTTTAGCTTTGCTTTAAAGTTTAATTCTTGTTTTGTGATTTGCACATCTGTGGGTTCGAATAAAGTTGAACTAAAGGCCGTAGCTCTTCTTTAAACATGTTCGAGGGAAATATTCCTGAGAGATGAGCATCTCATTGCATTGGTGACCTTGTGTTGATCTGTGTATGGCAAATAAACCTAAACCCAAGTTCTGACTCAGTAATGGTTGGTCCGCTTCCCGGTGTGTTGATCCGTTTCTTTATGCACCATGAGTCAGCCTGTATTTGGACCAATTTTGAACCTTGCTTGATGATCAACCCTTGTATTATTTACAATATTAAACAACAAAATATGGAGACAAAACTGTAAGTTGCAAAGATTTATCTTGTTTTCCAACACGCTCTTCTTCTTTCTCATGCAGAATCTTGTTTTTAGAATTAAAACTTGTAACATTTTAAAGTCGAGTTTTTTTCTGCTGAACGGACCAATGAACTGATCATAAGATGAGTCGACTCAGTTTCCTTCCTGTTCGTTTTGTCTCATTTGTCTCAGATCAAAACGGAAGATGCTCGGAAGAAGAGATTTAGACGGGGAGAAGCAATTTGCCTCCTCCTCCCCTCCTGAGACTCCCACTGACCCCCCATCCCACCTGACCCGACCTGCAGCTGCCAGGAGTCACAGATCAGGGAGGAGTGACAGCTTTAAGGCGCTCCTATTGAGGAAGGGAAGTCGACTCGAGTCATCTTCTCGAATCTCGGCGGTCGAGCGTCTTCGTGTCATTCAGGCTCCAACTATCCAGACGCCACCTCCTCCTTCAACCCCACACCAGTCAAAACCTGGGAGCCCCTCTTGTACGGTGGAGAACACCGACCTCCTCCTGAGTGTGAACGTCCCAGAACCTCCCACATCTCTCTGTACCCTCTCCCTGATGTTCGGATGGAGGAGACAGGACAACCAACTCCTCCTCACCTCCACCTCTCCCTCGTCCTTCTTCATCTTCTCCTCCACCCACGTTCGACCTCGCTCCCTCACTCCTCCCTCCTCTGCCTCGCGGCGCTTTGCATCTCGCTGCCGCCTCTCCTCTGCTCCGATGACCGCCATCTTTGAAGGGGAGGAGGAAGAGGAGGAGGTTCTTGTCGAGGCACGTGGAGACTCGAACCCGAGACGAGTTGAGATTTCTTAATTATTCCGAAAATACTCGAAATATTTTTTTTTTAAAAATCTGAAATGTGTCGACCCGCCTCAGCAGGTTGGACTCGCACCTGAATTTACAGAAACGCACAAATAAAAGTCCGGAAATCTCAGAAGGACGCGTGCGTTTTGGTCGTCGTCGCTGCTTTTTTACCGTCTGCTCAGCGTTGTTTAGCTTGTTGACTGTTTTGCACTTTACCGTTAACATTTTGTAGTCAGACTTTTGAGATTTTTCTAACTTTAACACAAAACTGATTTGTGTTTTTCTCCTAAAAAGCTCAAGATCATAATTTAAATATGAAAACATGAATTAAATATAATAATGTCTATGTTAATCAGTTGTGTAACCAAAGTTTTCCACAACTTCCTGCTTACTGTATTGAATTATTTCTAACATTATTTATGGTAAATGTAAAAATTGGCTACTCTTTTTTTCTTTATTTAAAAAAAGGTGTAGCTATATTTAATAAAGTCAGCGTGTATATGATATATGAAACTATTTGATGCATGACATATTTTAAAATTGCTGTATTGCAAACGATAAAAGTGATTTTTCTCTGACAGGAGTTTTTTCAAACCCCTTAAACCAATAAAAACATATTCAGAATAACTTTTTTTTTTTTTTTTACATTTCTGTATTTCTAAAATATGCAACTGGGTTACAAATGTTAAAAACAACAAAAATTACAATAAAACTTGTTTCTTTCCATAATAACAACACTGGTTTTCTCAAAAGAATTTTTGCTGTAATTAAGCTTTTTGTTCATTTTAGGGGTTTAAAATTTCATTTTTCTCTTATTTGCTACGCTGAAACTGTTACAAAAAAAAAACCTTGCTGGTTTTGTCTGTAAATATGTTTCTTCCTTTCAAGTTTTTACAAGATTTGCAGCTGGATTCACGTTTTTTTATTTGTAGTATTTTAAAACTTTAATGAGCAACAGTCTGTTTGGTTCTGTAAAAGTAGCAGACAGTTTTCAGGTGGAGACTTTATGTTCTCAGTATGAATTCAAGAGGTTCAGATTTAATCTTCAACCATAAAATAAGAAAATAAGTGGAAAAATAGAAAAAAATCACAGTGAGAAAAAAAACTCTTGACATATGTGATGAAATGGAAACAAAGTTTTAAAAGAAATGTAAATGAAAGAAATGGAGACTGTAAGTAGAAAATTGATGAGCTTATAATGAAAAAGGAAATCTAAGCAATAAAGAACAAATAGAATTATTTGATTTATTTGTCTGGTTCTTCTTAAGATGTTTCTATTTATTTCCTTAATCTGGTAGAATTATATTTCATTGCTTATTTTATTGTTTTCAAGTTCAAGGTTCTTTATTGTCATTCGTATCACATGTGGTACATGAGGTGGCCCTGAGGTGTAAATGAACAACATTTGAAAAAATGGAATTACATTTGAAAAAATGGAATTATATTAAGCCAAAGCGGAAGTAGGCAAGGTGGAAGTGATGAAAAAAAACAGAATTACATTTGGAAAAAACACAACACAAACAACAAAAACACGACATTTGAAAAAAAAAAAAAACAGAATTATATTTTAAAAAATTGAATTACCTTAAGCCAAAGCGAAAGTGGCCAAAGCGGAAGTGGCCATACGGTGGCTCTGAGGTGTAAATGAAAATCATTTGGAAAAAATGGAATTACGTTTCAAAAAGAAAATTACTTTTGAAAAAAAAAAAAAAAAACGCAATAAACATGACAAAAACACAACATATGAAAAAACAGAATTAGATTTTATTTTTATTTTTTTTAAAGGAATTGCATTAAGCCAAAGCGGAAGTGGCCAAGGCGGAAGTGGTGAAAAAAACAGAATTACATTTGGAAAAAACACAACAAACAACAAAAGCACATTTGAAAAAACAGAATTACATTAAAAAATTGAATTACCTTAAGCCAAAGTGGAAGTGGCCAAAGCTGAAGTGGCCAAAGTGGAAGTGACCAAGGCGGAAGTGACCAAAGCAGAAGTGGCCATACGGTGGCCCTGAGGTGTAAATGAAAAACGTTTGAAAAAATGGAATTACATTTCAAAAAGAAAATTACATTTGAAAAAACACAATAAAAACAACAAACACACAACATTTGAAAAAACTAAATTAGATTTGGAAAGAAAAAAAAAAAGAATTGCATTAAGCCAAAGCGGAAGTGGCCAAAGCGGAAGTGGTGAAAAAAACAATATGTATATATATTCGGTGCCTTTTGAGTCCCCATGCCTTAATGTGGTATATTTTGTTTAAAGGTGGGTTAATGTTTATTTTATTAATCTCATCTTATATGTTTGACTCCCCACTATCATAAAACACATCCATATGTACACAAGATGAATTTACTTTGTATTTAAAATAACTAAATCTAATTTTAAATGCAACTTGGGCTTACTGTCCCCTTTCATGCATCTTGAAATTAAGTTACAATTCTTAGTAATAATAAAAAAAAAAAGTAATTTTAAAAATAATTTGTTAATAGTACTATTGATAATAGTTCTCATCCATCCATCAATTATCTTTTACCCGCTTCTTCCATTTTGGATCACGGGGGTCGCCGGTGCCCATGTCCAGCAATCACTGCGCGAAGGGCGGGGTACACCCTGGACGGGTCGCAAATCCATCACAGGGACACACAGAAACAAAGGAGACAAACGACCATACACACTCTCACTCACACCTAGGGACAATTTAGAGTTAGTTCTCATCAATTACTTTGATATCAAAATATTTTTTATGCTTAAATTGTTAAAAATTAACTGAGTCCCAGAGTCCACCCTATTATTCTGCACAGGAGAGATCAGCTTTGGGCCGCAGCGAGAAAATCTGGCCCAGACACTGACTGGTTGAATTTTCTACAGCTGAGAATTAAATGTACAACTTCCATCAAAGCTGCAAAATGTAATTATTTTTTTATCTCAGACCTCCAAAGATCTAAATGATCCTAAAAAGATTCTGGAAAATCATCAAATCTCCCTCCGGCAGTTCCCCATCATCTGATCTCCCATCACAACCTCTTGTTAACTCTGTTCCTGTGTCAAATAAGCATGAGATCCTGAACTGTTGCAACAAACATTTTGTTACTTCTAGTTCTTTATTTGACACAGTTCCTAACAGAAAATCAGCCACTTCCCCATAAAGTCAAACTTCTATAAACCAAATCTCTCCTACAAGGCACTCTTCATGAAATCACACCTTTTCTTTTTCTCCGTTCTCAGTTAGTGAGATAAATAAACTGTTAAAAGGTCAAGACTGTAAAAAAAAATCTGCAGGACCAGATGAACTCCCACCTTATTTCTTAAGGCTGGTTGCTCATATCACTGCCCCAGTGTCCCACATCTTTAATCTTTCCATAAACCAAAACCCCATTCCAGACGCTGTTGTCCAAGCGTCTGGAATGGAGTTTTGGTTTATGGAAAGATTAAAGATGTGGGTCACAGGGACTGTGATGAGATGAGTGGCCAGCCTTAAATGGTGCCACTTCACCACCACTTCATGGTGCGCTAAGATTCATAACTGGCTGTAACTATCGTACCCATCACTGCACCCTGTATTCACTGGTTAACTGGTCATCATTAACTTCACGCAGACTCTCTCACTGGTACATTTTCATCTTTAAATCACTTCTTGGTCTGCTGCCTTCAAACATCTCCTCCTACATGTCTCTGCGTGAGTGCAGCTACAGCGTGCGCTCTCAGGACATTATTACCTGCAGTGTTCCCTCAGTGCGGACTGAACTTGGCAAAAGGGCCTTCTCTTACTCCGCTCCTGTTTCCTGGAATATCTTGCAAAAAGATCTGAAGCTCTCAACCTTGACCTCTGTAAGTGGCTTTCCTGGAAAAAACCAATGCAGACATGTTCCTGTTTTAAGTTTTCTACACCGTTTTATTATCTAGCTGTTTTTTTGTGCTACTTTTCCTTTTAATTGTCATTGAATTTTCATGTTAAATAAATAAATAAATACATTTGTATGCATATTTTATGATAGTCTGTTATTGTCTTTGTTGTATACTGTTGTCATCATTCTTTGTTAAAATCAGGTCTCTTGTAAATGAGTCCCCGAGGTTCAATGGGATTAACCTGTCTAAATAAAGGTTGAATGAATTCTAAAAGTCCTGACAACTCCGGTTTGGCTTAATGTAATTCCGTTTTTCACCCCTTCCACTTTGGCCACTTCCGCTCTGGCTTAACCCTCTATGGCATGGTGTTGCCCTCAGGCAACAAACTACTATTTTGACCCACACAACGCCCCTTTAAATTATTTTTTTTAAGTAAAACATCACATTAAAGGTCTGACAATAAATCTGTGACCAATGAAATTTGAGCTGGGTGTGGCTTTGACCTTTCATCTTGGGGTGAAACCGTCCTTTTTGAGACAACAGCCCACTTGGACACACCGCTTGCACAAGGTAAGATAAATTTCACTTTTGAACATGTTTAAGTTTAAATAACTTTATATAAATAATATATGTGATGTGCATGAATAAGTGAAAAAGCATATTTGATTAAGTAAAGACACTTTTCGTCTTCATTTATATACTCAAATGGCAGTTTTTCATTCGTTGCCTCAGGGCAACATTGTGCAGTTAGACCACTTTTGTGTGAACTATAACATGCTTATGGATGGAGATGTGTAGGAATGCATAGCTATCTACGTAATACATCTTTTTTGCTGTACTAACTATTATTACTCGCAGGTAATTGATTCAACAACATTTTATGGGTGTAAGGAACATGACCAAGTGGTTAGGCTCATTCCTTCTGAGAGTGAGGACAGTGAGCTTGAGGAGAGTGACAGTGAGGAAGAGTGGACTCCAGAATCAGGTTTGAGGGAGAGTTAGGAAATCCGGGTTCAGTCCGTAGAGTAACATACTTTATGGAATTAATGTGTGTGCGTGCGTGCATCAGTGGGTGAAGAGAGGTATATGTGACCTATTCTAATTTTATGCTTACTGGTTTCTTTTGAAAACAGATGACCTGTCTGATGACAATGAGTCT